ATACAAAGATGTCAGGTTTGATTACTTAGGTTGAAATAGGACTAATCTCATTGACCCAAATTCCTGAATTTCCTTTGTGCAAGTGAAATCCAGCTTCAGCTCTTCATTGTGTACAACAACTGACTCATATTTAGAATGCCTTAAGAGTACCTAGGATCTGTAGAGTAGGAAGATAATCTGTAAATGTTGTAAAAGCTTCTGCTGGAAGTGTTATATGCTCCATATGAATTCTGTGGAGTACCAAGACTTGGAAAGGAAAGAATGCTATATGGACTCCTTCGACATAATGACTGTTAGTTCTAGGCAGTGCACAAAACATAAGATTTTGGAGGTCATGAAGAAGAATGCCCTTCTATCATCACCAGCTCATCTATGTAAAGAATCTGGCTGCACTGTTTTGAAAGAGCTTTTCAAAGAAACCTTATAGGAAAGAATGGTGCACAAAGGCAATGTATTCTTTGTAGCTCATCTTGCTAAGAGGATTAGAAGGGTTGCTGGAGTTTAAAACATACAGCATTTCTTTAAGAACTGTATACAGATGTATTTTATATATCTATGTATTTATTTATAGTGTATGTAATAAATAAAAGTAAGGTTTGGAGGTGAAAAGTCATTGAGGCCAGGAGTCAGCCAAATGTTCTTTGGACCAGCTTTGATGCGACCCTAAGAATGGAAGGAATAGACAATGCTATTAGGTGTTTAAGAAAAGATTTGTAAAGAAGCAAGTTCTCTATGATAGGATAGGTTAATGTGATGTCAAGAAGCATCTTCAAATTAAAAGGTGGGGGGGAATAATCTAACTGGACTGTAGAGTGTATGTAAAAAATTCAAGGCTCCTGCTAGACTCAAACTTTGGCTGGAATAAGTCCTTACATCTTAATTTAAAAAAGGAGAGTTGGTGTGAAGGGAATGGAAATATCTTTTAAAGTGAATGTTCCAGTCTGTTCACAGACTTTTTTTTTTTTGATCTCTTGATGGGACAATAGGAATAGCTGTATGGAGTCAGATCTGAGGAGTGCTTACAGAAGAGTGCAAGAACTGGGCAAAGATATAGAATATTCTTCCAGCCTAAGAATTTGCAGCTCAGGGGCTTACTGGTGTCATTTTGAAATGCCAGAGACTGAGATCTTGGAATCTGATATGGATTTCTGTATTCCCAGTTTCTCAATTGTTGTGCACTAAGCTAGATGCATTACGGCATTCCCCCCCCCCCCCAATATTAATGGTCACCACTGTAGGAAGGAGTTTGATTTACATGTGCAGTACCACTAAATCCATTCCCATTATCTTTAGTTTTCTGAAGTCTTTTTCCCAGTGTGAGCGAGTCAACGCTCATTAAAGGCTTTTATAAGAGTATATGCCTTGACTTTCAAGACAGGTCAGAAAGGATCTGATTTGAAGAGAAGAGTTAAGTGACATCAAGATCAGATGGAAAGTAAGAATCTAGAACTCGTATTTTAGGTCCTTGCCTTTGACCAATCTTACTGTCAGGTGTTGCTTTTATAATATGATGTGTGTTTTTTCTATCTATTGGGAAACCTTTCTGCAAACTTTGTTGGCACTATGCCGCTTGAGCAGGCAAACTGTGATCTGTGTTGTAAAATAAGAACCTTATTGTTCATGTCTTATGAAGTATTGTGTATGAATATCTTCTGTACTTGAAAATAGACCTGTGTGAACTCATTTTTGAATGCAGCTCTACAGCTTCAGAGGTGTAGGTCAATGTCAGGCTAATCCGTGCTGTTTGAGTTCATTTAGACAAGATTCAAGGGGAAATAATTTTTTTTTCGTTTTGGTGATACTTCTGAAGCAAGTAATGGTTTCCATAAATGAAATGGTAATATAAAATGGCATTGTCCAAATTATCTTGTAAAAAAAGCCTGTTGCATGTGAGTATACATTTTTAGGGTTATTTTAAGTGATATGAAAGGACTGTTCTCTCTGATATCCTCCAAATTAAAATTGTTTACTGCTGTCCTTCTGGCACAGCCTTGCAGTGTACATTTGTTTTTAATTTTAAAATCTTGATCTAAAATCCCAGCTACGCGTGATCTGGTGGTTACAATTAAATTCAGCTTTTGTAGAAAGTGAGCCTGAGCTTGCAGAGATTCTTCTCTCCAGTACATGTTTAAAAAAAAAAAGACAAAAAAAAGTAGTATTTACTTAGGTGATGAAATATATGTTAGCCTAAAATCCTGATTCTTGTAATCCATGCTCCTACCTGTTTCAGTCCTTTGATTTAGTGTTTTGCATGGTTGGAGTTGGGAGTGGCAAAATACTTATGCCTTACAGCATCCTTTAGAAAAGTTCATATTGTGATTTAAAAGGCAACAGTTGCTGGAATCAGAATAAAGAAACCTTGTTTCTGGTACACCTACTTGCTTGCATGAGGTTTTGAGCGCAAGGAGCTTCAAAGCTGTTGGAGGTTGGGACTGTCCATTAGCAATACAGCCCAGTTGGGCCTTCTAATTCTATAAATTACACTTGCATGGTTATTGGCTTATTTTGAGATTCTGGTTCCTAGTCAGAGTTTCCAAGTGTAAGAAGAGCAAACTATGAGATGCCTCACTGCATTGCTTAGAAACCAGTACCATCTACTGTGTTGTACAGCAGTAAAGTATAGAGTAAGTCTTTGTGGTTACACTTTGTCTTTAAATTGTATCACAAAGTCTCTTTAGAAGCAAAATAAAAATAGCAAGTGTTTGTCTCGTGTTGTATTCCCAGGGTCTCACAGAAGCTGAGCTCCCCCTTTGGTGCTGGCTGCAGTGATTTGCCTGCAAAGGTGCATTTCCTTAAATAAAAGGTTGCTGCAGTCCACCAGAAGAGGGACACACAAGCTTGAAGGGCTCACAGATAATGCGACCAAAAGCTTCCTCTAAACCAGGGCTTGCTGAATTTCTTTAGTATTCAATTAGTAGCTTGTTGTTGGTGTCAGCGATAGTGTCTATGAATTTACTCACTGCAGTCTTTTGCTGATAGACATTCAAAAGGACTTTCTCTATAAGCTTTATGTGGTTTTGTTGGTTTTAATATCCTGATACAGCAATATTTTAAAATGGCTTATATTCAGTAATTTTTCTGTTGACTTGCATATACACTCACATGAAATATTCTCTTTAACTGGCAATAGTAATTTTGGACCTAAGTTTTGTTAGTCTTGTACAAGCACAGTAAACAATGAACTAATGGATGTTGTACGTCTTGCCAATATGCTTTAGTATCAGAAATGGTAGAAAATGGTGAACATAAGTGTAGGCCTCTAAGGTGGGGGTTTTTGCCTTTCTTCTTTTTTCCCTTGGACTCTTGATGTTCTTTAAATTGATTTAAGTAAAATTCTAAGAAGACAGAAAGAATATTTCCTAACAACAGACTTAACTTTATATGGCAAGATGTCTGCTGGTTAAATGTACCTATCAGATATGCTTTATAATCAGTAATGGATATTTGACTCCCTCTTGTAAATTTCTGAAAGCTTTTATTTAGGTGTTGCTTTTACTGATGTTCAATGGTATGCCAGCTTAAATGCTTAAAAGTGTTTTGACATCTAAGCAGAAATTATTTTGTAGTCAAACAGTGCTTCCTAAATTACCAATTATGAGTACATTAGTGATGGAATTGTATGCAGCTCATCACAAACCAGCCTAGCAGTAAAACTGTTTCAACAGTAATATCTTATTATCAAATACTTCTGCCAAGGAAGTACATAATTTCTGGAAACTCCCACTCTAAGTGTCTACGTGTATTTGGGGAAATTCCCTTTGCAGTTGTCTGCAGCGCAGCTGTCTGTAGGAATACGACTTTGGCAATCATGTTTGTACTTCTGCTCAGTTATGTGGTTTTTTTTAAATATGGTCTAAATTGTTCTACAAACACTGATGAAAGATACCAGTTAATCATAACCATAGCTACATTTACAGTGTTTTTTACAAGGACCTTGTGTATAGGTAACAGTTAAAAGGAACAAAGAACCTGTCCATCTGGTTTGAATAGTAAATGAGAATGAAAGTCTTGCCTTGGTAATGTGTCTTTGAATTTATTTGAAGAAACATGGTAAGCAGCAAAAATATTTAAGAACTTGCCTTCCATTTTAAGTGTTACTGGTATGGTCTGACTGGCATAGACTTGACACCCAGTTAACTCACTGGGTGAATGCTCCTATACAGTGTTGAGGGGCCTTTTGATTCAGTAGAAATCCCTTAAACTTAACTTGAAAAGGTCCTCATAATAAAATTGCCAACATAGAAAATTATGCTAGGATAGCTGTACTGATTTTAATTCAATCCTTATTTACATCTGTATGAAGTCTTAAGTTATCTTTTAAGGCTAACTGATGTAAGAGAATCTGTTAAATGATAATGTTTTTATACTGAGAGTTTGCAGAAGGTTCTTCTCTTCCAGCTGCACAGTATAATTTGTTTTTTACAAGCTATGCATGTACTGCAAATACTTTGCGGTTGTACTGTGGTCCACAGACATCTGAGCAATATATGAAGTTTATTAACCATATCCCAAAATCAGAGTCAGTATCTTCTAGGACTTCTGCCAAGCTGGTGAAACAACCAAGAAAAGTTACAACTTTGTTTTAAAATTGATAACTCTTTCTCTCAAGTATGGCTAATTTATTGCAGACCAGTGCTGGCTGGCTTTTTTGAAGTTCCAAGCCAACAATATGTCCATCGATGTTCAGAGCTTAAGAGCAGTGGGATATAAATAGAAACTCAGATGCTTTTTGACCTGAAGTGTTTCTCAGTTTTGGATTGAATATATATTATCAAGGCTCCAGCTACTTTCTGAAATATATGTAAGTAAATAAGTAAAAATATTATTAAGGCTTCTTCAGCTCTTCCTAAGTAAGCTGAATGAAGGAATGATAGTTGAAGCTTAAAGAATAGGAATTCTTTCAGCATTGAAAGAGGATTTTTGGAAGTTCTGGCCTCATTTCTTCCCTTTGTGCTGATTTTTTTTTTTTTTTTTTTTTTTTTTTTGTTATAATTCTGCAGGTCACCCAGCAGAAGTAATTCTGATGCATGGTTATTCATATTTTCACAGGACTGCCTTACCTAGCAGATGAAGGATTCAGGTGAGTAATTTACACTGGCTCTTTTACAATCTGCAGTTGTGGAGTATATAGTTGACATACATTATCTCTCAATATAGTGGATTTGTTTCTGCTGTGATCTGGAAACTTGGGACTAAACGAGTTTGGTAGAATTAATGAAATAATAAAACTCATAATAATCTACTCCTGATTCAAGCTTATTAAAGTCAGTAAAACTTTTAACAGAATGTGGCCTTCTTTAATGCCTTACTGTACTGTAGGCTTTTATGGAAATATATAATGTATGAACTCTTACCTTATTCTGAACAGAACTTGATTACTGAGCTGACTACTTGCTGCAGCTGAAGGAAAGTGGTTTTCATGCTTTTGTTGTTGATTTGTTAATTTTTCTGCCTCTCCTGTTGCTGTGTTCTTGTGCTGCTTTTATTTACACTCCATTCTTGCAGTTTCCTGTAAATTGGTCAGCAAGAGGAAGCTCTCTTGCTGCAGAGACAACTCAACCCTTCAGCTAGACTACTGAATTTACACTGACAAGGACAGCATAGTGCTAGATGTATATTTGATTGCTCTTGCTTTCCATTAACTAAAGATAAGTAGGATTGCTTTTGACTGGGAGCAAGAGCTGTTCCTAACCGTGGCAGAGACGATTGACAGATGCAGTGGCCCGGCTGGAATGAAATCCAAATGTTGGTTCCTGATGCTTTGGTTCTTCCTTTTAAGGTTATCTGAGTGAAATCTCATAATGCTAAATAAATGAAGTAACTCCTTTTGAGTGAAATTTTCCCTAGGCTAGCTTGGTGCAAGGTTCCTTCTCACCACTGATTTTGTAGGGATAAATGAAGGTTAGTGGTCTGAAAACCATATACCAGAGTTCCTTGCAAGACAGACTTCTGTGTTGTGAGGAAGGATATATTTAATACTCTTTCACTTTCCTGACAGACATGTTAATCGAATCCATGAAGATTTCATGTCTCTTTGGACTCTTTATTTGCAATTTTGAAACACAACCCTTCTACTTAATGTTCGGTCTAGAAAGTTAAGTTGAATTTTCGTTCTTCCAAAACTGTGAAACAGCTAAAATTTTTGTTGTTGTTGTTCCCTAGCGGAACACCAGCTTGTGTGTGTGCACATATGAAAGGGCTTCTGTTCTAACTCTGTGACCATCTTGTTAGTGTTGGAAATCACCAAAAAAATAAAAAGGGGATCTTAGAATGTGAAATGAAAAATACTGTATTTCTGAATGCTTAAGTGAACAAAGGGAGAGGACAGGATCAGAAAGGTTAGGGTGGAAAAGCAGTACTTCAGGAACATGTGCTGGATAAATGAGGTATGATTAAAATGAGACTGTTGAGGCCAAAGAGCATTGTACTGTAGTTGTGGAGTTTGGAGGGGAAAACCGAGACTTGTGTGTCAGACCAGAAAAGGGAAAGAGGAACTAATTTTTTTTCTAGTGTTACATGCACTCAAATGCTGTCATTTTGATCATCTCTTTTTTACTGAGGTAGAGATAAAGGTTGCAAAGATGTTAATGCAAGCTTAGAAGAGTATGCTTAGATAGAGAACTGGGGAAGGGAAAGATTGCTTTAAAGCATTGCGTGTTAATGCTTAAAGTCTAAATTGGTAACTGATATTGTAGCAGATAAAGCAAGTGAATTTAATTCACAAATTGCTGAGATGTAGTCCTCTACATCTTTTCTGTGTGAAAAATCTGTTAATTAAGCTACTGAGACAACTGGATATTGATTCTTATTAAAGAGCATCAGGACTTTGTGTTGATGTGCTGATCCTTTTAGCTAACAGCAGGTGTGTGGTATTTATGGTTTGCTTCCCCTTCTTATATAGCCTGGCTATGGAAGGAGGGCAAATGGATGCCCTATGGTGAAGACTGAGAATTGCTTTTCTAGCCAATACAGCCATGGCCAGTATCTGAAATGTTATTTTCTTCTGTGCTTTGAGTGTTGGGTAGTTTACACAAAGAAAAGACATTGTATAGAAACTTCTTCCTTCTATTTTGGAGTACAGATTGATGTCATTTTCCACAAAAATACATGAAGTAAGCTTTACTTGGCCTATTTATGTGTGTAGGTTTTGTCCATCATTCTGAAACTTGCTAGCTGTTTTTGTCTTACTTGAATGTTCTAGTCTGGGGGGTTTAATTCCAGACAGTCAGTGAAACACTTGAATCCTTTTAAGAGGTCCAGATGAAGATAAGTGTGAACCAATGGCATTTACTCATCATCAGTTGGTGATACTTGTCCTGTATAATTGCTGCCCTTGTGTTGTGAGTGTCTTGGATTCGAATTTTATTGTCTTTTGTGGTTTGCATAGCGTCAAATGTACAGGCAAGACTCTCTAAAGCACATACATGCTGCATAATCTTTCAAAATGGCTATTGTTAATTTCTTGGGTTGAAGAGGGAAGGACAAGCTCCAGCTACAAAGAAGAAAACAGAGATGAAATACTTATCATAGTTCTGTGGTGCAGTGCTAATACCTGAAGCACAGGCTCTTCAGAAGCACAGGCAGCATTTCTGAGCTGTGCCTCTGCTGGTGTGAGAGCCGGAGTCCACTGTAAGAAAAAAGGACTACTTTCTTTTTCTCCCATGGGAAAGTAGTTGATTGAAAGGTGAGTAGGAAGCAAGCGAGCAGTGGAAAATCCGCTCTGCTTTCTGGCTCGATGTCTGACAGATGTCTGAGGTATGCAGGGTTTGATTTATAACCTCTCTGGGAAGTTGGGAAATCTGACAAAGATAGTGCTGCCTGCTAACACTGGGGGAAACAGGAAGTAACAAAGGAAACAAGTCATTGCCTAGGCGTCCCTTTTGGCCGCAGTGCAGATGCACAAGCAGTTGGGGGAGAGTTTCTTTTCCTTTTGTGTGTTGAGTGTACAGCAGCTACCTTATAATACACAGAACAGGGAGAAGTGCAGAGATGTTCCTGTCATGCCTGAGAGGGGTCCTAAGTTATTAATGGCTTTGTCATCACAAAGGAAACAATCATTTGGGGAAACTGTCGGCAGAAAAACTATGTGTCGATCAGGAATGGTCACCAGGTTAGTGCATATTTGTGGCTTGTATTTCTGTCATCTTCTCTTTTAGGTAGAGAGCAGACTAAAACTAAGAGTAGAATATGGTATCTGGGGTAAAATACTTTAAACTCATGCAGAAAATTCAAGACTAAAGAACTGAAGGGCAAAGAGATGAGGCGAGTCTTGGTTGGAAACATTTGCCAGAAAAGCAGAGCAAGTTAAAACTGAGTAAACTTGCTTACAACAGTGTATTTCAGTTGGGCTTAATTCTCTGTTTCCTTTGTCCTGTAAGATTTATTTGACTTCACAGTGTTTGTACTGTGCTATTAATCCTTCTGAGAGACTATTGTGAAAGGGGCTGTTAGAAGTATTAAGAAATGGAATGTGTAACCAAAACCGTATGAGAGATATGGAAGAGTATTTTAGAAATACTGGAGAATGGTTAATATACGGAAAAGAGACCTGAGAATTTTGCAGAAAGTGGTTTTAAGAACAGATGCTAAACGTTTAGGTGGTTGAATTAGAGAACTAGTTTTTATTCAGAATTGCTCAGAGCATATTGGGGAAGCTTTTATTTTACAGTTCTGCTGTATGTAATGCTGCCTCATTTTTGGTTAAGCCTTTTGTAGAGACTGAAACTTAAGTCTCTCTCTGCATTATAGGAGGAATGCATTTGTTTCTGTAAGTCGTGTGTTATATATGTAATGTTATATGTAAGTTATGTGTTCAGAAGGAAACTAGCATCTTGCTTTGCTAGGTTTTACTTTCAAAATAGAATTTAAACACTAGAGGTTATGAGATATTACGGAGTTTAAAAAGTTCTCAGGCATAATTGGCATAGAGATACTTGTTACAAGTTCAGATCGGGTTTAATTTTTGTACTGCAGCTTTGGAAGCTGTTTTTTACTTGTTTTCAGCATGACCAAACTGGGCTCCAGGACAGACCATAAATGTTGTTATAAAAAGTGAGAACTTTCAATACAAGTTTTGGCAGCTGTAGTTTCAGAGATGAGGGTTTTTATGCCTATATACTGCAAGATGTGGAGATGATCACATCTGCCATATGTTCTGCTGAAGTTAAGCAAGAACTGAGGACTCATGGCTCTTTCAGGATGCAATCCTTAGTTGATTCGGCTTGTACTTGCTTTAATTGGGTTGAATACCAATAGCTCTTCAGGCCAAAAGGGGTAAGTGTTCTTCTATAATGTATTCCAGATTTTTGATGTGGCAGAATTTTATTTTTACTTGTGGAGGGACTTTTACCCTGTAAAGTTATGCCCTAGCCTCCAATCTAGGTATTCTATATATGCTGACTGAGGGGATAGGTTAAAATTACTTCACAAATGTATGTTTGCATACTATGCAGTAACAAAAGTCTACTCTCCATTTAGAGTTTGAGCTTGGTAACGTTACTGTTATGATTCAGAAGAAACTGGCATTATCTAGGTTGCATGATGAGTTGTGTAATTTCACATTTTTTTCATGCTGTTATTCATGGTACTTTGAAATAAAAAGCAGCTCATTGTGATAGTGTTTGAGAAGTATACTCATGTGATAGATTTGGACTGACTTTATTGATAGATTAACAATACACTGCAAATCAGTTTGTTTTTTAGTCTGGCAGACCAGTTTGTATATGTGAAGTAATTACAATAGTAATAGTGTGTCATGCTCGAGAGAGTGACACTGTTCTGCACTGAACTGCAGTGAACTGCACTGTTGTGTCTTTCCAAAAGCTCTGTTGAACAATGAAGCAAATCCTATAAATTCCTGTTCCACTGTTTTTCCTACTAAACTCTAAGGCCTATTGTTTCCCTCACAGACATAGAATTGTCATGGGGATCATCTGAGAAACAAAGGGATGCAAGGCCTTTCGCTGTCTGCTGCTGTCCTCTTCTGGTTCAGAGGGTTCAGTTCAGTGCTGTTTCAGTGGGGGAGAAGGTTGATTCCATAGTCGCTTATAATGGGTTTGGAGGCTTCATGGATAATTTAAAGATACGCATCCCTTGGTGAGTGGAGAGAAGAATAAAGTGTGTAGCTATTACTAGAAGCTTGCACAAAACGATGCGTGAGTAATGGTACCTTCTGTTTATAACAAAGGACCAGCGTCAGAAAGAGAGCATGGCTTGGCTCTGATTTCACTTAGTGGGCCCTTTCTGTTAGCTTCATTGTCAGCTCCATCCTGATTGTGAGACTCTGCTGATGCACCTGGGGTGAAAATTTGTTGTGGGGTCTTTGGCTTGTAGTGCAAGAATGTAACTGCATAAGAAACAACTTGGAGATGTCTTTCTGTTCTTAATGATCACGGAGCTAACAGGCTCTACAGTGACTTCAGTGCTTGCTGTTGTGTATACCTGGTAATGCAACATTGATCTGTTCCTCATGTAATGTATTAAAAAAATGAGAGTGGAAGGAACGGAACCGCTTCAGTGAGCTAAAGGCAACCATATTGTAGATGCTAAGGCCAAAAAAATCTTCAAGACCTTTTGATTTTCCTTCTTCCCACCGCTACAATAAAGATCCATTGGTTGCGTTGTTTTGACAGCTTTCTCCCAGCAGCTTAATGCAAAATAGCATCTAGTGTCCTTCCAGAGTTGTTTTGTACTGTCAAGAAAAGAAGAGAAATCTGCTTGGGACTAAATTCAAGTACTTAAATGGATTTTACAAGCCTACCAAATATTTCAGTTCAGAATACCAGTGTCCTTCCTGTGCGTCTGCAGATGAAAGTGCTTGAGGAGTCTACAGATGTGATGGGGAGTGCTATAAGCCACAGATCCAGAAAATAGGCGTAGCAGCCTCAAAATGTATTGAAAAGTCTGGTATATTAGGTGGGCTCTTTAGCTCTTACAATGTGTACTTGCTTGCCTGGAGTTCAGCCACATCTCTTATTCACTTAGCTGGGATGGGGAAGTTCTGAGGTTTGGTGTCTATTCTCAGGACCATTTTATAGTAAGTAGCTAAAAGTAAGAAATGATCATGAATAGAGGAAGCAGAACCTGATACTCTGCTGTCCTTTCCCCTCAGTTAAAGCCTGTAGTCATCACACTGTAGAACTGGATTTATTTTTTTTTCCACTGCTTGCTCTTCTGCTTCCACTTTTTTTTTATTTTTTATGGTTTTTTTTCTGTCTGCCTGATATTCTGGCTTTTCAGGTGGAGGAGAAAATGCCCCATCCAGGCATGCTTTAGCAAGTAGTCTAACTAGTCTACTCCCATAGTGAAGGCCAACATGACCTAGTCAAATATTTGTTTTCTGTATTTACCTAGGGTGGGATACCCTTGTCCCCTGTGTTTGTCTTTGGCTTCTTAGAAATCTCAGCTTACTGGTTGTTTTGGATAACCTCTCTGAGACATTTAACTCTGCCTCTTCTGATATGTTTTCAACCTAAGTATGTAACACTGAAACAGTTTCACACCAAAGGCTAGGTGCTTAAGTCCTTTCTTGTTCTGTTCTTTGTAGTAAAAGCACACAGGATTTGAAGAGCCGTGATGAACTTCAAACTGTTGGATGGCATTGAGACTAATGTTAGAGTTAGTTCAAGAAAACTGACATGAGAGTATATTTGAATAAAAAGGTTCCATTTTTACTTATTCTTTTTTCTGAATGTAACTAGAAACAGACTGAAATAATAACTTCATCATACATTAACTTCTAATGTTTGAATGTTGATGTGCCTGTTCTTAAAAGAAAAATTTAGCCCAGGACTTGCTTTTGCATTTCTCATTTCAAGGAAATCACTCTTAGCAGTACTGCAGTGTGGCTTGCTATCAGCAGCCAGCTGGTTAATGCTCTCCGTTTCCCTCACTTTGTCTTTTCTGCAAGATGTGGAGAATTAATTTGAAGGATTTTTTTTGGGGGGGTGGGGGGGGTGTTGGTGTTAACTTTTATGACTTTTTAAAAAATTCTTAAAAACTATAAAATACCTGTGTGTAGCTGCTTCTTGGACCTGTTAACACATTGCTGTTGCTAGAAACTTCATTGTGGGGAGGAGGAAGAAGGAACAACTCAGCTTGGAAGGACCTCAATCATATAATAAGAACAGGGAGGAAATAGCAGAAGGAAGGATATAGCTGAATACAACAAAAGTAACTTACCTTCTGGTGAGCAGGAAGGTCCTGGAGGAAAATTGGGAAACCATGGTGCATTGCAGTGTCTGCTGTGAGAACCTTTCTAGGGCCTTGGATCCTATCTTCTCTGCTTGTGCCTGTTTTATAACACTGGGGACTAAAACCTAATTTTTGTGATTAAGTTTTCTAGGCTGCCTAGAGAATTTAATTGAGTTTAAACTCTCCTGGTAGACATTGCTAGTAATTTCCACACCTCCCTACACAGGCATCATCAGCAAATGGCAAGCAGCTAGATCTAAATCCTAAGCTGATCCACTGAAAGATCAATTGACTAGCATTTTTGTTTTTTCTAACACATATACAAGGGATACGTTCTCTGCTGTTGCAATTAATCCCTCAATAAAACTGTATCACTTGCTTATTCTTTTCAGTATGGGTACTTCAAGTTGTCATCTTAGGCTGGAGAGAGTAGTGCTCAGGTAGGTGTGTTGTGCTGTAGGCTCTTGGATTCCCATGCTGAGCTACACTATTGATTTCCTTTTGGGGAAAGGAGAAGCAAGCAGGATCCATTAGATTTCAGTCCTCCACTAAAAGCTTTTCAGTTCTAAACCATCATTCCTTTATCAGAAACTAATTAACTGAAACTTTATTAGTTTGCCTCTTACCAGCAAAGGTCTCTAGCCTTACACCTGAGGATAACAGAACCTTTTATGTCTAGGTCTAACTTCCCATTCAGTTCATGCATGATTTCTTTTCTGTATACACAGTAGGATTTTTAGCCTAGTTCCATTAACAGTTGAAGAAAGTTAGGTGTCATAGTGATGTATCAGACAGGAAAAAAAATACTACTTAACAAACTAATTTTTTTGGTAACCTGTTTAAGATCACCACAGAAGAAGTGTTAACTGCAAAGGTGCTTGGTGGAGCATGGCATTAATAATTGGTATCTAATTTAAATGTAAGCCTGCAGCAATCTGAGATGAACTTTATTGGCACAGGATGCTGTCACATATGACATCCAGTATGAGATTATATACTAATGATTTCATTCAGAATAAAACATGCAAATATAAGGAGTAGGTAGTACTGGATACTGCAGTTACTAAAATACAACTGTTGATTCCTTCATTATACAGAAAATTAGATTTTATATACGTGCATGGCTTAGAACTTTGGCGAAGAAACTGATTTTCTTTCTAGTCGCCTGCCTGATTAAGTCTCACAGTGTTACCTGGGGCATTTTAAAAATACAAATACTTAAATAACATTTACTAAGCACTCTTCCATTGTTTCGACAACTGTCAATCACTTTTGAGAGCTGTATAAAAATAAATCGGGACTTTCTGCACCATGGGTTTTTTATACATTAGAAACTTCCTGGAATCTGTGAACACCCGTCTGTGCTACATACTTGACTGCTGAACCATGTTAGTTGTTTGGAAAACTTGTTTAAGGAAACAAGCTTTGTTTCTCGGTACTCACTTCTTAAAGTAAAATCTAAGTTTTAAACTGTTTTTAATGATTCTAAATTGCAGAACGATGGCCTCACAGGAGCAGGTCTGGCCAGTCCCAATGAAGGCAATTGGAGCACAAAACCTTTTGACAATGCCTGGAGGAGTGACCAAATCAGGGTATCTTCATAAAAAGGGAGGCACCCAGCTGCAGATCTTGAAGTGTAAGTTGAATGAGGTATTAACTAAATTAAATGTTTTAAATGCTTGCCTTTGGGGCCATTTTGGGGCCACATTTCATGTTAGCAGACTATTTAAGGAAGCTGTTCTTTCGCTTACTTTGTCTGTACTGAATTACAATTTTACTAGAATATATGTATGAAAGACCCATATTGAAACAATTTCCTTTAATTGTTTTGGAACTATAAATCTTAGATGATAAATTTTGTGGTTGATTTTCTTTTACTTGGTTAAATCTCTTATTAAGTCCTTCACAAGTAAGATTTTAAAGACAGAAGCAGATTCCTGGGATATGTATCAATTTCAAATATTCTTTTCTAAGAGAAATTGGTACTCAGCTTTTTTTGCAGTCCGTTATTCTGTACTGGAAAAATGTCCCCATCTCCTACTGCTGTTGTGAAATGGAAATTTTCTTACTGCCAACGTTAGGCTGTACTTAAAAACAGTAATTGCTTCTGGAATCAGGATCTATTTACATGGAGAAACCTTAAGATTTTGCATTTATTTATACGCTATTCATTTGCTATCCCTGTTTAAACTATTCTAATATAGTTAAGGACAAAGATTACTGCCTTTGATAAAATGGCCCCTTTAAAAAAAGAAAATAAAACATAATTTTATTGGCAGCTTTATGTACTTGAGGTGAAAGAAGAGAGGGAGATGCTGTCACAGTTTTGGGATGGACATAAATATGTATTTGTAGCCTGTGGCTACCCTCCTCCCATTTTGTTTTAAGTTGCATTCTTACATTAGCTTATTCGTCTAGTAAAGAAGCACAGGTGGAGGTCAGACCTGCAGTCTCTTAGGCTTCTTTTGAAGTTATCACATCAGCTGCCTCTCAAATGAGGGAAGCACATACTACCCTTAGTCCTGAAACTCTGTGAATGGACAGCTTTACCATGTGACTAATCATGAATGAGCTGTCACTTAACTAGTTTGTGCTCGTTTATAATGATTAATAAGATTACTAAAATCTTAAATGATAATTCTACCCAAGTTAAGAGGTTCTAGTTAATGTACTGCCTTTGGATTTATATTTTGCTCACTTTTTTTTGTTATCTTTCCAGGGCCATTGAGATTTGTGATTATCCATGAGGGATGTATTTACTATTTTAAGAGCAGCACATCTGCATCTCCACAGGGTGCATTTTCTTTGAATGGTTACAACAGGTGAGTGCCAAAGAACTTATTTAACATCCAAGCTCCTTTTGCTTAATGCAGGGGACTATGTTTTTCACTTCCAACAAAGTTAAAGGCAACTACATCTGTTGTTTGGTTAAGCACTGATCTCAGATTCCAAGAGATGTATTTCTTCCAAATTGTATATATGATGTTTCCTGTGCTTTGCAAGTGTATAGCCTTTATCTTTTGTAATTTAACCAGTAAAGCTATTAAAATTGCAATGGGCTTACTCTTGTTACTGACTTAATGCAGGCTTTGCACATGCAGGTAGATGCGGATTCTTTCCGACAAATGATCTTTGTTCTCTAGTGATTTCAATGATTGTCACAAAAATAGAAAGGAATCAGAAAGGAATATTTATGGAGTTACTGATTCAGTAACACTAATTAGTGACAAAACTGAATCAACTATGGGAGTGATAAATGAGAGAATGCATGTGCAAAATGTCTGACTCATTTCGCTACACATTATAAATCTTAATATTTGCTTTTTAAGTTGAAGGCCAAAATAGGTGTCTTTTTCAAGTTAACCAGTACTATCAGAATCTGAGTGCAGCATATGTATGAGGCCTACTAATAGAAGTCTAACTTAGCTTTAGGAATTTGGTGGTGTTGTAATTAATTCTAAGAAAGGAATAATGAGACACAATGTAGAGAAATATCACATTATTGGTCCTAACCACTGCAACTTTATTGTATTTGTAAACTTTAATGTTATTCTTGTACTGCATAATGTTCTCAGACTTTTGGAATAAGGTAATCTTTTATTAGAATGTGAGAGCTTTCTAACTGACTACAACAATGGCATGTTTTATGGGAATGCAGTTGTAAACATTGTAGCCAACTAAAACTTCAAGATTCATTTGTATAAGAAACCTATACTGTAACCTGGTCATGACACTAGCTTCTGTAATCACATTAATGTGAAAAATACAATGGAATTTGTAAATGCTAGGGACTGTGTTGTTACTTTTTAATAAATCTGCTTTCTAGCAGCCTTGTAGAGACCTTGGTTGGAATTGGGACCAGGTCTCGGTTAGTATTATGCACAGACACAAGCATTATTGAAAAATAATTTGAAATTAAAGAATTTGTTAGACTGGGTAGTTGCATAAGGTTGTGTGAAAACAAGTCACTTCAAGGCTTCCGTGGACTTGTATTTTGCAGTCTTTCTTCAATAGCCTTAGTTTGTTAAGAGTGGACAGGAGATCAGAAAGTGCTGAGTTCACTAGTGACTCAAAATGTATAGTGATGCCTATTGCTAGTATCCCTCCCCAGCTGTACCATGGGTGTTTCCCACATTAACATCCTTATTAGCCTTAACATTAGCCACAAAAGGAACTGTAAGTTATTTCACTTTGTTTTGGACTGGGCAGATGCAGAAAACTACAACCTCCAGCTTAAAAGTAGGGTTGGGGTTCTAAAAAAAGGTGCAATCTCTAATTTTGAAATAATTTTGCAGTTGACATGGTTCTTAATGGCAGCTTGGGGGTGTTGATTAGATATATTTTATTTCAAAATAAGGTTATCCTGATTAGGTACCTAACTAAAACCCAAATGTCTCTGAGAATCTTTTTTTCTACGTTTACAAACCACCTTCCCTAAATATTAAGGACTTACAAAAATACTGTATTATATGAGGAAATTGGTGAGTTAAAGTTTAAGAACAAGAAAGCAAGCCCCAATAATGATTGTAAAAAAACTTAGTCAAATTTCTCTATGGATATGCTGAATAAATCTTAGACATGTTACTTTTAGATTCCCCACAGTCCTAGGATTTTAGTCTCCTCCTTTATTCCAAAGCCTTATAGCGAGCATTTACAACCAAATTTCTGTATGTGTAAGGAATTTCCTCATTTGAGACCCCTCTGGGGAAAAATTAAAAAGAAACAAACTTATGTAATGCAGTTTGTGAAAGAGGTTGAGTTATGCTTGTTTTAAAATAATAAAAGTAGTGCAAGAAACTGTTTATAAAGGAAAGGTGGAAAAATAAGTTAACTTTTAATATTAATTATCTTTTATTTTCACGGAAAAGCTGTGTTTTGATTTCTCCTCTGTACCTTTCTGAAATAAGGATCACAGGCACCATAAATGCTTCTTACCGTGGTGTGAAGCTTGTGAATTAATGCAGTTCATTAAAACTACTGAATTTCAATGTGGTCAAAACATCTATTTCTAAGTCTGGCTGGTGGTTTAACTAGTGCTTGTTCTCCTGTCAGTGCTCTTGCATTGTTCTTCCTACCACTTTAATGGAGAAGTACTACAAATGTACATATGGGGATTTTTGTGGTGTTTTCCTGGGCTTGGGTGTTATTTTTTGTAAGGTAAAACTGGCCAGTAAAACTGCTTTCTATCAGACCTTTGACTTGCACAGCAGAATTAACTTTATAAATTAAGATTTTTATGTATTGTTTGTTCTGTTTCTCAGGGTTATGCGGGCAGCTGAGGAGACAACATCAAGCAATGTGTTTCCTTTCAAGTTAGTTCACATTAGCAAGAAGCACAGGACGTGGTTTTTTTCAGCTTCATCTGAAGATGAAAGAAAGGTAACTTTCTTCTTCTTTTGCAGTGTAATTTTCCTTGAAGTAGAAAGTGAATCTTGGACTTCCCTAAAATCAAAATGAACTGGACATGCAGCTGTCACTGAAATTTGTATACCTAGTTCTTTGGGCTCCTCTGAAAATCATGTCTGAAGTTTTAACTATTAAGCTAGTGTCAGTTCAAGTTGTAATTTAGGGAATGACTATAAGTGACATACTAGATGGCATGGTTTCTTCCATATTCCTCATTTTATTTTTAGCCAAGGAACAAATATTTGTATGTTAAGCCTTTGATAAAGTACGAAAACTGTTAATTGAAATCTCTTACCTGTAAACACACTGTGAACAAGTACCTGGTTTAGAAATAACAGCTTGAAGTTTGCAAAGTGAAAGTTTAGTATTTTAATATGTTCTTATAGCATTTTAGATAGTCAAAACATTTGACTGATAAGGCCTCTCAGTATAAAGTCATGGATAAATACTATTTCAATGTAGATTCCTTGCACAGTTACTCTGTTCTTAGAGGGAACAAATGCTGTGCATCTTTGTTTAATGATTTAAAGATGGATGTGTTGAATGTTGTATTTTTATACTTATTTAGAGTTGGATGCTATCCTTGAGGAAGGAAATTGATCATTACCATGAGAAGAAAGAAACAATAACAGAATTCAGGTATAAACCCTTAATCTTTATTTGCTTTTTATCCCTTTTGCACTAGCTCTTGACAGTGGTGTTTTAGGCTCTTTGCACCTACAAGTAATTTACTGTGAAATAAAAACAGGTGCAGTAAGGCCCAAGAATGAAAGGCCTTCCTAATACACAGTTTAAAGAATACCAAGACAAAAATAAATCTTTTTACTAAGAGAACTTTTAAATGTCAGCTTTGTGTAAAACAAATAAAAACTTTAAAAAGACAGCAGCACCATACCTGGCTGTTAACTGGTAAATAGGAATAGATTGCTTCTGCTTTTCCAGCATTCCTTTCCAGTGCTGCAGTCCTGCTAACAGACATTACTGTCCCAAGACTGATAACACGGTGATGCAGAAGGTACTCTGTCTTTTCTTTTGCAGTGACTCTGGTTCTGATGCAGACAGTTTCTATGGCTCAGTAGAACGTCCCATTGATATCAAGTATTCTCATCATTCAGCAGATAATGAAGGTGACAAATTTAGACACTGATAAATAAGATTTATTTATTTGCTTATTTATTTCTTCTGGATTCTGCAGGAATTATTCCAATAGCTTAAGCAAACTGACCCAGTTTGCAACAGAAGCAGATATTCTGTGCCATAAACCATTAGTAAAAATAAATGGTAACTAAAGAAATTCAGATCTTTCAAGCTGGTGTCTGACACCCCAATAATACTATTTAAAATTTTTATTAAGACTGCATGTTGGAGAGTTTGTAGATCTAGCAAAAAGATAAAACTTTTGAGTATGTCCATAGGTCATAGTGTAGAAATACAAAGTGATCTTTATTATGATAATTGAATATTATTGACAGTAACTGAATACAATTATAATAATAGCATATTAGTCCCTTAAAAGTATGTTCTGAAAACATGTGGAGACAATGCAGTAAAACATTGTGGAGCTAGTTACCTCCTATCTAGACGGTGAAATTAATTCACCTGTCCTGCAAAACAAGCAGTCACCGACACTGGGATGTTGTGGCATTTGTGTTATAGTCTGTTTAGTATGAAACAGAATTGATCATCTCTCTGGTTCAGGAAGATCTTACATTAGGCATAGGATGGGCCTAGGTCAAATGCATAGGGTAACATTCTTCAATAACTTTCAAACTGAGTAACTTTTTGAAGTAAGGTTCTGAAAATCTCATTCTTAACATAGACTTTTTTATTCAAAGTTTGATACCTGTTCATTGCTGTAGTTGTTTCACAGTAAACAGTTCAGGCTGAGTGTGTTTATTTTTTAATTAGAAGTGAGGATGTTACAGAAAGCCTGTCAGATAGGCATTCACAGCATATTTCAGCAACTGACCTCCTAGTCGAGAAATGTGTTAGTAAAATCCATCATGAGAAGCCTCGCCTCAAGGTTCAACATAATTCCTTTACTATGCCTTTTCCCATCTGCCCTTTCAGATTTCTACGGGCAGGGTTGATTGGAGCAAGTACTCTCATTTCCTGCAAGGAAATTCCTGACTATTTTTCCTGACTAGGACAAAAAGGCAGGAGTGAGTCTTTTTAGGAAATCCGGTTCAATTGTTGCAAAGCAGAGAAAAACAGACTCATCAGCATTTCATGTATGATTGTAGTTTAGTACTTCTGTGTTTATGGGAGGGAAGGGTTGTATGCAATACAAATGATGTTAAGAAGCCTAGCAGGAGTTTAAATTAGGAAAATTAGAAGAGCTAACTGATTTTTATCAGATACTCTTACCTTTTTCTTTTTGTGGTTTTTTTTTTGTGCATTTCTTTGGGGAAATACTGCATATTGTCCTTGAGACTCTGTCATAGTCAGTGATGAGAAATTACTGCCTAGAAGTAGCATGCTTTTCATGTCTTGATCATTGTGACTTACAGTTAGAGGCAATGTTGAAACCACTTAAGCCGTTTCTTATGGTGCATTTTTTTGTTACCAGAGCAAGGCAAAAGAATTAATTGTTTTGTAGATCACTAGGCTTGCTTAGGCTTCCATATTACAAAAATCATAAATCTTTCTGTGTTAGGGTTAGGTTTTGGGGATTTTTTTTTTTTCCAACTGGTTTTGCCAGTACATCCATGTAGTTGTGTCTCTGCAACGAATTTCAGTTTTTCTCAGGAAGGCTATAACACTAGAAAGTGTCACCAGAAAGAAAATTTAAACTTGAAAGATGGAAAAAAATCGATGTGCAGTGTAGTTCATCTCCCACTGTTGTAAGGGATGGCTTTCTTAATTGACATCAAAATTTAAGGAAACACATACTCTAAATAGCAGAGAGGTGGACAAAAATATATAATAAATAAATTTTTTTCAAGTCTTTTAAAAAAGAAAAAATTCGACTGAAAAATACTTGTTTATCAAAAAGCAGTAAGTACTCAATACTCTTTCATGGTTCCAGGAGTACTTAACAGAGTCTGACACATTGATTTTTATCTGCAGATTACGACCAGGAGGAAGAGGATGAGTCTTACTTGCAGCCAGACACTTCTGACATAGTGAAAGATGGTATGTGATTTCTTTCATTCCCTTCACAAAAGGCCCCATGAAAGGCCCCCAATGAAGACAATATTCATGTAGAATGCCAGATTATTATTTTGGCTTCGTTGTATCTAAAGCATTGCAGGTGGTGAAATAACTGAAGTAACGCACAGGTATCTGATCTTGAGAGGTATTTAGGGTCAAAAGGTCCTAGAAACAGCAGTAACGATTTACAGAAAGTGTTACATGCCTTTAAGGGCATGTTTTCTTGCAGGCCTCCTGCCCTGGAAGGACCTGTATCTGGTCATCAGACTGGAGGAGTGGTAATGCTTTTAACGTAGTCTCTTTATTTTTAGCAAAGGGAAACCTCTTTGCTAAGTTATCATAAGCTATGCCTGAATAAAAATTACAGGAGTTTACTACACATAGCATTCAGAATTGTGCTGCAAGTTACATGTTTATTGAGCATTTTGGGTACTATCAGACCAGATGCCAGTGAAATATCTTAAATCACATACAAAATAAATTTGAAAAGTCTCGTTTCTTGAAATACAGTATTTCCCCTCAGTGTGTTATGTCTTTTGGATGTTTTCTTTCTGTAGATATGGTCCTGCCCCCAGCCTACCCGCCTCCACCGGTTCCTCATGTCAGAAAAGCTAACTTCTCAGAATCAAGGGCAAATTCCTTTGCTGGCAAATCTACTGTGCCAGTACCACCACCGCCTCCTAAAAGAAGCTTACCTGATATCAAACCAGAGGATCTCTTAAACATGAGAGAACCCCTGTTACAGTGCCGAGCTGAACCTAATCTAAAGATTCAATCCTCAAGCCGGAGACTAAGTGAACAGCTGCCCCCCGTGCCCACTATACCTGTTTTCAAAAAGCCGGTATATGTCAAAGAATCTTGCTCATTGCCTCCAGAGCCTCTGCCTCTAGCTCAAGTTGTTTCTACTCCAGAAGGATGTGAGAAGCTAAAAACCTTAAACCTTTCACTGCGAACTCCTCCTCCGCTACCAGGCAGTAAACCCAAGCTGTCACAGTTTACTGAAAAAACAGTAGAGCCCAAAGTGCCAAGAGAACATGGTAAACCTGGACTGTTTGTGCCACCAGTGTTCCCAAAGCCACCTGTGCCAAGCCACCAGCCCCCTGGAATCAAGCCTAGACCAGAGAAGTCTTCATGTTCCCAGTTACAGTAAGTACAAAAATACAATGCACTATTAAATTTTTCCATTGTGTTATTAGTTAACTAGTTGACAGACATATTTCTCAGATTCACATCGATATCTGTTTCTCTTCCCTGCACCATCCCTCTCTTCCTCACAGTGGTGTGCTTTTTTGCCTCTGTACTTGTTATTTGAAACTTTTGCAATGAGTTTAGCTTCTGAAATAGTTCAGAAAGAAATAGTAGATAAACCAAACTTTGAAAAAAATTACACCAAAATTTTGTAGTTCATTTGTTTTCAGTCGTGTCTTAAAGACTTAATAGCCTTTGCTTGCAGTGAATAAGAAGCCTTTGTCAGAACCTCAATAAACTGCAAAAACAATTTTAGGCTTCTGTGGAGATAGGAAATGTGTTTCATTTTACATTCAGATCAGCTTTAGTAAGGGTTGTGGAACTAGTTATGGTGGTGAGTCAGATGAAAGTATTTTTGTCCATTGGATTGTTTAGCAGCTCTGAAGAACAAGTAATAAACTCTTTAAAGACAGTACAAGGAAGACATTGATATACTGGAGTGAAACCAGTGGAAGGCCACCAATATGTTTGGGCTATAGCACATAGTATGTGAGAAAAGGCTAAGAGAATTGGATTCATTCAACCTTTAGGAAGGCTAGTGGGAGATCACTGCTGTCTACAACTACTTAACAGGTAGGTATGGAGAAGACAGAGCAAGGCCTTAGTGGTCTGCAGTGGTAGAATAAGAGGCAACAGGCAGAAGTCACAACCTAGGAAATTACAGCTATGTATTAGGAAAAACTTTTCACCACGTGGATGGTGAAACACCAGAACAGGTTTCTGCAGAGAGGCTGTGGAATCTCCATCCTTGGAGATACTCAAAACTTGACTGGATGCAGTTTCCTGACCTAGTTGGACCTGCTTTCTGCAGGAGCTTGGACTAAATGCTCTCTAGAGGTCCCTGTAACCTGAATTGATCTGTGTTGGGGGCTAAACTGAAACTTGTTCTGCAGTTCCAGTTTTATTATCCCTTCAGTGTTTTGTGTATATTTGTTCTGTTTTCCTGAGGAGATGTCCTTCAGTTTTTGTTCTGTTTCTGCCAGGAGATCACCACCAGATGGGCAGAGTTTTAGAAGCTTTTCATTTGAAAAACCAGCACTACCCTCTAAGCCAAACCAACCTGATGATGATTCTGATGATGACTATGAAAAAGTAAGATCAAGCAGATGATCTGTTCTCAGAGAGTATTTTTTGTTGCTTATGTATACTCTTGGGAATGTTTTAAATGCATTATTTCAGGAAAAAATAACTTTCTGAAAACACAGTGCTGTGTGATTTTTTTTTTTTTTTTTTTTTGGAGGGGGGGTGTTTGGGTTTTTTTTTAGCTTTAAAGAATGCCTTGATAAATTCTGGATTTTAATATTGGATGTAAAGGAGGAACAAGCATAAAGGAAAGATTAAATCACCATTAATAATTTCAGATACTGATGGCTGTAGCTTATTTGCGTAACAAGTTGCTAGCATTTTGAGTTGTCATTGACGTACATGGTGACTTATTTTCTTCATTTTTTTTTTTTTTTTACAGGTTGGGCTCCCTGCTTCAATATTTCTTAATACTTCTGAATCCTTTGAAGTTGAAAGGTAGAATGTGACTTTAAAATAGTTGCTTAGAAGTCCTACAAAAACCTGCACTGAACAGTAGTCCAAAGATCATTTTTGATAGGCACAATTTGTGTTTAAAACCACAATAAAAGTATATAAATTCCTTTAAGATGGAAATCACTTTTTAGGGGAGTTAGTTCAGTGCTCATGTATCAAATGAAAATACATACTACTTGCAAAGTGATTTTGCTCTATCTAGGGAAGGTTGTTCTGCCAGGATGCTAGATGGGACAGAAAGCCAGATCTTCTGTGCTGTGTTGCTGGTTCAGATGCTAGAACAGTGAAATTCCTTCAGCTATGATGTACTATGAATTACTACAACCAAAATAGAGATTTATAATAAGAATTTTAAGAATCTAGGCATTTTACTTATCTGAGTCAGAAAATGCTAATATATGTAATTGCTGTATTATTTTTAGGACATTTAAAGCTAGTAGCCCGCGGGGCCGACCGCAAAATGGATTGTACTGTATTAGGAACTCGTCTACTAAGCCTGGAAAGGTAACTTGCAATTGCTGAATCTACCCCCAAAAACCTTTTTGATTTAGAGATACTGTATCTTACGTATGACAAAGTATTTAACAATTTAGATGTGCTCTTTCCTTAAAGCAAGAAAATCTGAGACAATCACTATTATAATTTCGGGGGGGTTATTTATTTATTTTAGGCTGGATTGTAACTAACTCCTTAATAATACATTGACTTAGAGTTTATTAGCATAGACTGAATATGTTGCATTTTTATTCTTCAAGGTATTGGTTGTATGGGATGAATCTGCAGAAAAAGTGAGAAACTACAGAATCTTTGAAAAGGTTAGTAGCTGTACTATGTGTGCCTGTGTATATATGTGCATGTATATATGTATGAATTCCATGTATTTATATGCGTATAAAGAGTGCATGTGTATAGGGATATACCAGAACTAACAAGTTAAAGTCTAAACTTCTTCACATTCCTAAAAGTAAAAATAAGCTGATTTACAAATATCTGGTCTAGGATGAGAGTCTGAGTACTCGGATCTGGGCTTTCTAGTTGCTGTATTGTGCAAAAGACAAACTAGCTGTAAATGTTCACATCTAAATTTCAGCTCCAACCAAATCCTAAAGGAAGGAATATTAAATTCCTGAGTTTAATTTGGACTTGTCTGTGCGACTAGCTTGCAAAGCAGTAGCTTGTTTGAAAGAACTTTTTAGTTCTGATGATGTTTGGGTTTTTTTTTAAATATTGAGTTGGAAAAATTACTGTCAATTATAACATATGTTTTTGTTCTACAACAGGATTGCAAGTTTTACCTGGATTCAGACATCATGTTTTTGAACATGGGAAGTTTGGTCGAGTACTATAGCATTCATGTCTTACCTAGTCATGACAGCCTTATTCTTCGGTGTCCTTATGGTTACTCTAAACCAAGGTGACATGACTGGCATAATTCACTGATGCCTAGGACAAATGGGTTCCCTACTGCCCTTGAATTAAATGTGGACTCCTGCCACTGTTGGACATCCCATTGTTTGCACACAGAAACTGACTCTGTTTCAGCCACTTATTCTCACATTCATTGTATATAAAGTCCATTTAATGAACTCTTGGTAAAACCTTACAATCCAGATCAGTGGATTTTATGGTCTTTTCTTTTAAAAAGATCTGAACTGATTATGCTGTGAAAGCTGTCCATGATACCTACACCTTTTATAAAACTGCTGCTATTACTAATCTCCTTGGAATGTGGAAGATGGACACAAACAAAGTAGTGGTCTGAATACAACCAATACAGAAACGGGAAACTTCTGAGAGTGTATCAGAATTCACTTGTGACAGGGAATACTAATATTCTGACTTGAAGGTATTACTCCTTAAGTCAGCACTGGTGCTCAACTGAGAGTTTTTGTATTACTTGTATAGTTGACATGTAAATAATGAAGACTTCTGTGCAAATAATTTGGTTTACTATAGGTTAAGATGATCAGAAAATTGGCTTTTTTTTAAGCCACCTCATGTAAATGTAGCTTCTGATTACAATGTCTGCAGTAATCAATATCAGGGTACTATCCAACTGATATGGTTGTGGCATCCCACATGTTACTTAATGACTTGCATTTCAGAGACACGTGGAATAATATTGATTTGGCTTTCATGGCAGCCCAATTCCTTAGTTCTGAACTGGAAGGGTAGGTGCCACTAGTATTTTTAATGGGTATGAGAAAAGAGAAAGGACTACTTAGGATTAAGGGGGAAGGGAGGGAATCTTTTGAGTACCCCAAATTCTGACTAGCAGTTTTCTCTCACATTGCTGTAATGAAAGGTTCTTTAAAACAAAACACACAAAAACCCCATAAAACCATGAGTGTGATGCTACTATCAACTCCATAAATCTTTGTGGTCAGTCTCTTAGGATCAGGTTGTCAGCCCGTTGCATTTTGTTTTGTTCTAGGGCAAAACACACTGGCCTAGGCTACTTCTTGTAGATCACCAAGAATTTTTCCATTATTAAAATTGCCATTTGGTTTGTAGTTGCATGCAAAATAAAATCTGTTTTTAACATACTATCAGTGGTAGGCATTACCAGGGTGCTTGTAATATTTGTTCCCTAATATTTTGGGGACAGGTATCCTAAAACCAAGGGCTTGATATTTATGCTAAATATCCTAAATTTTAATGAAGAGGAGAAATTTATTTTAATGACTTGTTAAGTAAATTTGATTCAAAAATACTGTTACAATGGTCTCCTACTCTAATAATGTTTACAAGACTTGCAATAATAATTAAAAAAAACCCAAAATCCTGTCGCTCCTGAAACAGAAGGTATCTAGTTTCTATCAGTCTGAATCTGTATCCATAAACTTAACTCTTTTTTTCTGTTACCTTTTCAAAGTTTATACGTGTCAGTTTTAATCTTGTTACAGTTAGATGGTCACAACTTTAAAAACATGAGCAAAACCATTACAGAATAAGAATTTTCTGTTTATGAAAACAATAAACCAGGATTTAATCCCTAAGGGATTTTCTTTAATAGAGATGTAATATTAGGACCATACATAGGAATTGAGGCAAGAAGCTCTGCCTTTATCTTTTGCAAGAGACACAGACATACACAATATCCGTCTTTTGATCTCTGTTCTCACTGTAATAGGTTTTATGTGCGTAAAAAATATGTGGTACTTAAATTTCAGATTCTGTTGAATATTGGATATTTTAAGTTTCTAATTCCTTTTATTTTAAATGAGTATCCCTGTGGTTTACTACCCTGATATGATCTTCTCTGTAAAGAAGGCTCAGCCAACAAAGCATTTGAAAAATATTTTTGGCATATAGATATATGTATATCAGAGCAAGTTCCCGTTTCTTGCAGTATTTACACATACTGTTTACAGAGTAAATTTTTCCCTGGGAATAATTGACTTCATTGTGTCAGGACAGTCATACTTACAGTATGCTATCTTTGGGGCCCTATTCAGATATTTAGGGGTTTTTTTTGCAACAATATACTCTTTTTTAAACTGTAAAAATACTTACATAATCCAGTACATATAAAACATAACACTGTCTACCTGTGTAATACAAGATTTGCAAATATGTAAATTTTTGTGTTGATTTCCTTTTTTATGTAAATGTATATATTTCTGAAGTGGATAAACTTTCAACGCCAATTCACCTAATTTTGTGCAGGCATCTTTTTACTTCATGGGTGTGTGTTTTAATGCTTTTGTTTGTAGTTGTGTTAAATAGTGCTTGATTCTTCTAACCGTGAATTTAGAAAATAGGTGGAAATTACCTGTTTTCCATTTACTTCAAAGTTTCTTGAGTGCAGGGTTGAGGACTGAAGCATTCATTTTATCTATGGACACAAATGCAAGAACGACCATAATAAAAAGAGCACCTTGGAGAAACGGGAGTGTTTGAGCAAGAAAGACAAGTCTCCAAAGGTGTTCTTCAGGAGCTTGCTTGGGAAAAGAGGACCTTCCCGTTTCCTGGTGCCTAATAGCCCTTCTGCTCAGAAATGTCAGCGTAACCCGGTAGGTTAGTACAAGTACAGTAGGCTTACAACCTTTTAGGTTTACATCTCTGATATCTCCAGAATTCAAGGTAAGAGGTACAGATGATGATGTGCTAGGTAATCCCCTCATCCCTCTAGAAACAGGTAGAAGGGTTCCAAACAAATCTGCAATCACTTGCACTCCCTCTTCCAAGTCATCTTGTTCCTCCATACTAGTCTAGTCTGTTTTATGCAGAATTAGATGAAGTTAAATTTCTGGTGTTTGTAGGGAAGAAAGGCACAGCTAGAATGTGTGGCTTCATAGTCTGTCTCCTATAGCTCTTCCTAACCTTACTCTTCTCCTCCTGTCACCACAAATCAGCCTCTTGTGTATACAACCTACTGCAAGCTCCTTAGCTTTAAAATAGTTTATGGTGAAGTGTAAAGGCAGTATTTGGTATGCCAAAAAAAATGCAGTTTGTGAGTTTGGTAATATCCAAGTCAAAATAATTGATAATAATTTTGGAAAAAGTCTTGCCTTTTCTGTCTAAACTTCCAAGATAGTGTTACAGGTGATAGGTGTGGGGGCGATTGCTCTTCTAGCGAAAAAAAATTGGAGGGCTTTTGAAAATAAAATTTTCAACAATGGACTGTTAAGTAGTGTATCATAAAAAGTGAACCGATATCCGGACAATTCTTCAATGATAGTGAAGGTGCTTGGTGCTTTGTGTCAGCAGTCAAGTAGTCCCTAGTTCAGAACTTCAGTTTTTACAAGAATGTAAATAAGCAGCGAGAGTATTCAGGGCTTCTGGTGCTTCATGACGTCTGAAGTCTTAACTGATTATTTTGAATGTGGGGACATCTGCCGGTCAGCCTGTTCCACTCAGGGTTCCAAGCAACAGCAGTACAGCTGCCAAGTGTCTGCACAGAAGTCATTTGGGTAGAAATCAATCCGAATTGAATTCGGATAGAAGCTAGAGATTAAAGCTTAACTTTAAAGGTGGAAACTTAATGGGCCAGGTCTTTGAAACTTAAGACGTCTTTTGGCTCATCTTCCTCATGTAAGTAGCAATGTTGTTTAGCAGAATCACTCATCTGAATATCTTTTAACCTACATGGCAACAAAATTAATTGAATTTTATATTTCTGTTTTTAAATTATTCTTAAACTTTGAGGTAGAACTTACATAATGGACGTCTGAGCACCACCTAAATTATCTGCATTGTGAAGCATTAAGGAGTTGTTCTGAACATTAAATATTTCACCTAGCTGCAAGCAAATCACATGATGTCACAATAGTTTCTATCTTACTAAACAGTCAACTCCTTGAAGTCAAGGAGGTTTGTTTTCTAGCAATGGGACTGCTTGAGATGATCATGATTACAACCTCTTAAATGGGAGAGCTCATAGTTCTTCTACTATAAATACTCAAAGTACCAAAATACCAAATACCAAATGCTACTAAAACTTTCAGAGTAGATAGCATTTGAGCTCACTTTAAAACTGGATGAACTGAAGTGATTAAGTTCAGTGGGTTTAGGGTACATAGTAAGTCTTGTAGCATAGCCAACCCCAAAATATATTCCTTCAGGACTTCCATTCCCGTATCTTAATTACAGGACAGCCATTACTACCCCTCGCCTGTACCTTCTTCCTTACTGCATCTAGTTACCAGGGAAGTGGGTAATCCAACCTCTCATGTTCATGACATGGCCCTGATGGGCATGTAATCTTAGAGATATCAAAGAGTCATTTTTAACGTCATTTTACTTGCACATCTCTACTGGAGTTGGTTTGCATAGAAATGCCAGTAATAATAACTGTTTGCAGGATTAGATTTCTGGATATATAAAACCAGGGAAAAACATCTAAGCCTTCTTTGATTTGCCACTTTTTCTGCCTTTTAACAAACACTTTGTAGTAACTCCCTCTGTGTGCGATCTTGACACAGTTGGTTCTTGTATTGGGAGGCTGATGTGCATTTAAATTCTGACCTTGAAAGCTTTTGCATGGACAGAGTTTTGCACCTGTACTGAAGGCCAGTGAGGTGAAAGGTCTGCCACAGCAGCACAGAAAAAAGAAGTCTATTCCATGTAAACTTATTAAAGAGTTTTATTACAGGATGAATAAGGAAAGATGTACCAGGTGTGGCCTCACAAGCTGTCTGGTTTAGGCTTCAGTGATTACGTAGTGCTTTAATTTACACTGTGCTAATGTTCATGCTTATTTATTTTTCCCAGTAAATTCCAGCCACACCCTAACCATGGGAGTACTGCTGAAAATTTACCTTTTTAAAATTAAATGTTATTTAAAGGAATTCAAAATTTTATATTCTAATATTACAAAGCTTCTCCCAAGATTGATTACTTTTCTCCTGTATATAATAATAATAATAATTCAAATATTAAATACTTTATAATATTTTTCTTATGCTTCTCAGCCCTTTGCATTACTTTGAACTTGCCCTGGTATCGGTATCTTATTTTTCTTTTTCCTCTCTTTGTTTTTCTCTCCTGGGTCTGTTTTTAGTTCTAAGTTAGTTCAAAAGTTCTAACTTCTGTTAGTGGCACTTTTCCTTCTCCTACTACTGAGGATGAAGATGTCATTAGAGAGCCGCTAAAAACAATCTCAGCAGCTCTGGTGACATTGGAATTTGTATAGAAGCAACTTGTAGAGAACATACAGGTAGAAGGCACATGATGCTTAGGAAGTCGTGAATGTTGCAATTAAAAGAATCAGCTTTACTTGGAAAAGGAGTTTGGAAAAACAAATCCAAACCTCTACAAAGAGTGTTGTAATGTTAAGAGAGGAGGTTGGTTGCTTGAGTTCCTTTTGGCTAAAGCGATCATTGCACCTTTGGTTGTGCTTAATTGAAACTGTTATTAACCAGCTTGAACCATGAAGCTAGATTTACATTTAATCTCAATCGCGTATAAAAATTTCCCTGTGCCCCTCTGAGCACAAAGTCAGTATTTTTCAAACTTAATGCCAAAGTGGCCTCTTGGTTTACTAGATTGTGTAAAATCTGGCAACATTTAGTGTCGGCCTGTTCAGCTGCTCTGCCCTTTCCCCACCTGCTGCTTCAGTTCTCTCCATTTTTATTTTTTTCAGCTCAAATAAACCTCAGATATGTTTTTGTTTGGTTGTGGAGGGAGATGAAATCAGACCAGAATACTCTCCCCCCCCCCCCCC